AAGAAACAAGTGAAGCTGACAGGCTGGTCAGATGAAGAGAGTGAAGTGAGGAGTTTCCTGCAGTGTCTGCCTTATATCTCACAGCTCAGGTAAATGACTATCTTTTTGTGATTTCGGTTTTTATTCATAACACTCAAATATTTCCAATGTTTTTGTTTGCATATCATTCTATTACAGCAAATTTCATGCTACCGATTACTTTTTATTAAAAACATAGATTGACACGATAAATTCTATGCATTGTGTGTTTTGTAATTCTTGTGATTTCAGTGTCATGCTTCAGTTATCAGAACCTTCAGAAGAAACCAGATTGTTGGGAAAACTTTTCTGTGCAGCGGCAGAGAGAGAACAGCAGACAGGAGAGAAGATACTGAAGCTGTTGTCATCAGTGTGCACATACAAAGCTTTCCCTCTTACGCATATATTGTGTGATTTCCTACTGGACCTGTACACCCATGAGCCTAAAACCAATTTGAGTGTTCTTCCATCATTACAGTCAGTTTTCCAGTCAACTCCTGAAGTCTGGTTCATAGATCTCTCAGAGAGAAAGTCCTCCATCCTCCTGGAAGTGCTTAAACTCCAATCAGAGAAGAAACAATTGAAGCTGACAGGCTGCTCAGATGAAGAGAGTGAAGTGAGGAGTTTCCTGCAGTGTCTGCCTTATATCTCACAGCTCAGGTAAATAATGATCTTTTTCGTGATTTATGTTTTCTTTCCTCTATTTTAAGTGGTTCGGACTACAGATTTTTATTTCTCACAATTTAGGTAAGTGAAGTGTTCTTTGAATAAAATGTGTTCTGAATTATATCAGAAATCATTGTTCTAGTTTGAATACTTCTCTGATATTTCTATGTCATCAGTCTTATATTTCCATATTAAGATGTTATCCGCATAGGGACATATTTCAGTTATATTTAAAGTCTTCCCCTTGTCAAAAGAATGCGTTGTTCTCTTTACACCACAATATTTCAATGTTTATTTTACTGTTTTCAGTCAATCCCCTAAGACTGTGTTTGTACAGTACTTTTCATACAAATAGAGTGTAACACAAAGTGCTTTGCAGAACAAAAAGAATAATAAAAACAAAACAACCTTCCACACAATTCGCCTCGTCAACATGATGTTATAAATAAGGGAATATAAAACAGGAGCAAGAGAGAAACTGAGAAAACATGACTATAAAAGTAGTTCAATGAGGAAACATCAGAAGGGAAATAAGTCAGAATTCAGAAAGACCAATTAGGACAATAATAAAATATAGTTGGGTAATGAGTGATAGATTAAAATAGAATAAAATGCATAAATAAATACATAACATTTAAAAAATAAATAAATAAAAATAAAAATGAATCAAGAAAATACATTTGAAAGCCAGACTAAAAACTGTAGGAAGGTTGTTCCAGAGATGTGAACCATAATCACAGAAGGATGACTCACTGTGGGGTTTTCTTCTGGCTTCAGTTTAATTAAACATCAGCTACCAGAGGAGTTCAGGGTTTTAGAAGGTTCATAGCATGAAGGCAAATGTGATAAATAAGTAGCATAAAGACCATTAAGAGTTTATAGACAATAAAAGAATCTTAAAACACTTTCTAAAGCCAACAGGTATCCAGTTCAGAAACTTTAAAATTGGTGTAATGAGTTGTTGTTGAGATTTGTTCTTCTTGAAGAGACGAGGCAGCAGAACATCACATTTTATAGTTGCTTTGTTCTTTAAGTATAGAATTTTAAATACGGATCATTCCATGCCAACTCGTGTAACCTCCCAGTTGCTGTTGAGGTTTTTTTTGTGAAAAAAGTCACATGAAGACCTCTGTTGAACTCATGGGACCTTGTAAAGTCCTTAAGCTCTACTCCAAATAAATTATTTGTTCTGAATTTTTGAGGTTTGGCCCTCAGGGCTAAATCTCATAGTTTTTGCAGTTCTCTCTAAGCCTCACTCAGTTGCTTATTTTTCACTGGGTTCAGTTGAGGTTTGTACTGAACATCAGTAAGCTTGAACTTTAAACTGGTATTGGAATTCCAGTGGTTTTTGAATATCTCAGTAGCTTCAAGATAAAAGAAAATAATCTACAAACTATCTATTGTTATACAGATAAAATAGGTATCGTCCCTAATGTGTGATTACAAAAGGACAATAAATTCTAATAACTTGTTTAACTGTAAACTAAATTGTATAATTCATCCCACTCTCACCCAACCGGTCGAGGCAGATGGCCGTCCCTCCCTGAGCCTGGTTCTGTCGGAGGTTTTTTTTCCCCTGTGGGNCCCTGCCTCTTTTTATCTTTTGACTTAGAATGAAATGATCATGAAAATTCTCCCAGCTCTGCAGTGAGCAACAAATCAAGTTTTCAGATGCCAATGACTGATTGTTACTTTGTTTCACCCTGATTGATTAACACAGAAGCAAGATGAAATAACTATCATACTGTACATGATATCAACTGAAGATTTAGTTTCAGTCTGTGCATTTCAATTTTCCCTATATATTGTATTTTACTCATGGTGGCTTGGCTGTTAGCACTATTCATAATCTATACACCGCTTAATCCTCATTAGGGTCACCACTTTCTCTGGCTTCCTCTCACAGTCCAGAAACATGCTGAGTTTAATTGGTGATTCTAAATCAGGGATCTCCAACTCCGGTCCTCGTGAGCTACTGTCCTGCAGGTTTTAAATGTTTCCGTACTGCAACACACCTGACTCAAATTATGGATGTATAGGTAGTAATTTTAGAAACAGGATTCAATTCAACTTTATTTATATAGATGAACACATCTCATCTCATAGCACTTCACATACGAAGGTAAAGATCTTACAAATTTTAAACCCTGAACGGAGAACCCAAAAGTCCAACGTTGCCTTTGGATTCCCTTTGAGCAAACAGTCAGTGACAGTGGGATTGAAGTTTGTGTTTTGAGTCAGAAATGGTCTAAAAACATGTTCGGCTGCTTTGATAAAAGATGTGGTGAAAATTCAGTTTCATTAAATAAAAGATTGACATGGACAAGAAGGAGTTAGTTGGTTTTGTGTACTTGTATTTATACAACTGAGATCAAGCCATTAATATTTTTTCTTTTTCATTGTTCCAGTGTCGTTCCGCTGTGGTCAGATCCTCATGAACAAACCAGGTTCTTGGTAAATCTGTTCTGTGCAGCAGCAGAGAGAGAACAGCAGACAGGAGAGAAGATACTGGACCTGTTATCATCAATCTGCTGCTATGAAACATTCCCTTATGATAACGGATCCATGGATGATGAATATCACTGTGATTTCCTGCTGGATCTGTTCTCCCATGTCAAGGACTGTGAGACTAAAACAGGTTTAAGTGTCCTTCCATCATTACAGTCAGTTTTCCAGTCAACTCCTGCAGTCTGGTTGATAAACCTCTCAAAGAGAAAGTCCTCCATCCTCCTGGAAGTGCTGAAACTCCAATCAGACAAGAAACAAGTGAATCTGACAGGCTGGTCAGATGAAGAGAGTGAAGTGAGGAGTTTCCTGAAGTGTCTGCCTTATATCTCACAGCTCAGGTAAATTATTATCTTTTTGTGATTTCTGTTTTCACTGAAGATTTGTGCTGAGGTTGAGTCACTCTGCTTGTAAGTTAGAATAGCATCAACAATTTTACCTAAGAATTAGGGCAACAGATTTTTTTTCTATTTGAAAAAATCTAAACATCATGTGTTTTGTAATTCTTGTGATTTCAGTTTTGTGCCTCAGCTGTCAGAACCTTCAGAAGAAACCAGGTTCTTTAGGAATCTGTTCTGTGCAGCAGCAGAGAGAGAACAGCAGACAGGAGAGAAGAT